TCAATTATGGTATTAAAAATAAGAGTACAGTGTAAATATATATTCATATTTATAATTTTCTAACTGTATTTACAAGAATAGAGTGAATGATGCAATGAATCATGGTGCTTTATGTCCCTTGGTAGTGTTTTCTCTGGATTTGGTCTGAAAAGCAGAATAGTCCTTCACTACTGAACATAGAGGGGGGAAAAAACAAACGAAAATGTGATGTGATCACAGTTGGTCCTTTCCATTCTTCTGATCCGCAGAAGGGTCCAATTGGAGTAATAAGTGGGTGTCGGCTCCTTTTTTCTGACACCAACAAGCTGCCACTCCCCGTTAATACAGAGTGCCCCATAAACACTGTCACCGCTGAGAACTGGGAAAACTGCTGCACACTTCAGTCCGTGTGATCCAACAAGTTCTGCAAGGTGTCTCTGAGCTCCTTTCTCACAGAGCACCAGTGTTTTTTTTAGCTTCATCTCTGGGAATATGGGGAAGAGTCCTACCACACAAGGCAGGAGCGAGGAAAATGTCAATGTTTGAATGGAGAGATGAGGTATCAGCGTTTCTTAATGGCTGCCCCGTTGGAGTGGGGAGGGAACTTTGGCAGGCACGGCTCCTCTGCTCCAGCTTCGTGGGAGAAGACTGAGTCCTCGCCGGAGGAGCAGGTGGAGCTGCGGGTGTCGGGGTAGCTGGGGGAGTATTGGTCCAGAGGCACTGAGAGCTCCAAATACTCCTGTAGGCACAAAGGGGAGAAAAAAATATGAATATTTTGCTTCCAAAAACCGGCATTTCTCTGCATGGTGAGGAGAGGAAAACCAACCTGATTGGATGTCATGGCCAAACAGCGATCTAGATCCTCTACCAGCTGTTTGAATGTGGGTCTCTGAGAGGGCACAGCGTGCCAGCAGTCCCTCATCATCATGTACCTGCAGAGATTTGCAACATCAAAGTCAACCTTTTCTGCTTTTGATTATCATTGATTGAATTGCTAATAAAACAAACCTGAAGTTAAAGAAGGTTAAATTCATGTGAGGAGCAGACAAATCCATCTAATCTATGTTCCATTCTTAGCCCACTCAGCCTTTACACAAACAACAGTCCGGTTAATCCCTACGTTGCTAAGTAACCGAAATTTTTCTGATATACAAGAACAAGGGTAATATAAATAAAAATGCCAAGTGCTTGGGGGCAAGCATGAGACACAGCAGTGACTAAGCTTTGTCTTCACTTCCAAGTCTTGCAGATAGTCTGGTGCTTTCAAAACCTTTTTTTTATTTTTTATAAAGCATGCATAGGAGGCTCTTCTTTACTCTAGTGTGCTGTAAATTTTCTGTGAATGTAAAAGTTCTGCAAAGGTAAAAGGCCCTTGAAGAGAGCTCCTTGACAAAGAACACTGCTCCTGAAGCTCCAGAAACACCTCCTCAGTAATGTGGCTAACACTTCTGCTTCATTGTCATATCACCTGGTGTCATGATTCTCTTCATATGCACAATGCAGGTCTAGCAGTTAGTCTGACACACCCTCTAACAAAGCCAGGTAAAGCGAGAGCAGAGGCCGACATTTTCTACACACACTGGAAGCCCTGACCAATCGAAACAGAGTGGGTCCACTGGCCAATCAGAGCAGACTGGGCTTTATTAAGAGGGGAGCCTTAAAGAGACAGACACTAAAACCTTGTGTTAAAGACACAGGCTGAAAAGTGGAGCTGCAGCAATGGACAGTATGAGGAAAGTTTTCTGAAGTTAGAGCATGTAAACATTTTTAAGTAACAATCCAAATTAAAATTATGAACCTGAATATGAGCAGAATATGTCTCCTTAAAATGCCATCTCTATACAGATTTATTTGAACAAAACCTTCATATATGCAACTTGTCTCGCTTTCATAGATTCATAGACTTTGTTATAACTGGTGACCTAAATGATCTTTTTCAAAATAGTACATTCAATTTTGGTCATGTCATTCATTTATTTGATTTTTCTTCAAAAAGAATGCAAGACAAAAAGAAAAGGGGAAAAAAAAAAAAAATCAACGCAACATGAAACATGTTTGATTGTAGGTGTGCAATGTTCCCTTACAGCTCGTGTGTGCACGTTGAGGGCTTGTCCATACGGTGACCTTCCTTCAGCAGCTTGAACAGCTCTTCCACTGGGACGCCGGGATATGGGGAGCCTCCCAGGGTGAAGATCTCCCAAAGCAGCACCCCAAATGACCAGCTGCAGACACAACCAGACACCATGAAATGTCTTCCTCACGTTCCAACAAGTTTGAATTAGCTTTAGAATTGGCTTGTGATACTCACACATCACTTTGGTGTGTGTATATCCGGTCGAACAGAGCCTCGGGAGCCATCCACTTGACTGGTAGACGACCCTGTGGTGGAGGTATGCATGTTACAACCATCCACAGCACATTTTCATATTTATAAATGATATTAATGGAATGATAGGAGGACTCACATTGGTGGTCTTCTTATAGTAATCAATGTGGTGGATATCTCTAGCCAGGCCGAAGTCAGCTATTTTCATCACATTGTCCTCTGTTACCAAAACATTGCGAGCGGCAAGATCTCTGTGGATGCACTGCAGAAAAAAAAGACATTGACATTACTACAAATAAACTTCCTGGGAAGCAGTGCCTCAAATACAAAAACTAATCTTTCAAGAATGAGAAACTCTTTTGCTGTTGCTTTTGTTGACATGGACTGGCGGAGAATGTCTATAGCTGTATGTTGTGGTTACCTTCTTAGAGGCCAAATACTCCATGCCTCGAGCCACTTGGTAAGCACAGGACACCAGGTCTTTAATGGACATGTTCTCCACAGGAACCTGGTCTGGGTTGTAACAGTACTCCATGCCTGGGGGGCGCCGTTCTCTCAAGTACTCCCTCAAGTTTCCCTTGGATGCGTACTCTACTATCACATACAGAGGACCTGGAAACAAGTAAACAATGTTAGAACAAATCACTTTTAAACAATGCGATGTGACTAAACTGATACATCTGAAGTATGTCAGAACAGTGCTGATACAAGTACTGAGGAAAAAGTAACAGCAGCTGCAAAGATCTGAATGTTTGTTTGTGCCGGGAGGACAATTATGCAATAAAAGCAATGTGCTCTTTAGGAAAAAATATTTTCAAAACTGAATACATGTCTGATGGAAGCAAAAAAGGTCACAAAGTCGTTTAAATCGACATGACGTAATGTGAAAATTTGATGCAGGTCCAGCTAACAGTTTAAAATCTGGGGTTATAGCCAAGCAAATGGAAATGAGCTGCACCCACTGGTAGAGCTAATAAATACTTCAACAGATAAGTGCATTTCAAAGTTATAACAGTTTGTAATGGTTGAAAGAAGAACGTTACTTGAAGGCAAAAGAGTAATGTGTAACACAAGGTCATTAGAGGTTAGATTTCCTCAAAGTCCAGTTTCGGTGAAAATCTACATTTTAAACTTGTTAACGTGCCCCTTTTAAGCTTTTTGTATGATAAGACATATTTTGAGCAAAACAAGTAGTCAACACAGGTCATAACTTTAGCATGTGTGATTCTGAAGAACAAAGGAGAGTTTTAAGATAATAAGCTGTTGGAGGGGGACTTCAAGCTCTTGCATCAGGGATGACTGGTGAGAAGTGATGGCAGCTGTGGGTGATTCAAACTATGAGCTCAGTAGCTGGCATCAGAATCATTTCTCATGCTTTCTCAAGCTCATTGTGACACTGTTGTCTGTGGGTCGGAAGTGTGTGTTGGTAGGGTCGGCAGCAGGCCCCCTTCTGTCTGGTCTTACCGTCCTGTGTACAGGCTCCCAGCAGATTAATGATGTTCTTGTGCTTCCCAATAATCTTCATCATCTCCATCTCTGATATCAGGTCTGACAGGTCTTTCTCTGTGGCATCAGCTGCAGGAAGAGGGAAATAAATCATGAGAGAAATTAGCTGATGTACTGTTGGTGAAAAGTCCCAAAAAGGACTCACAATTACCACAGTGAAGAGTCTGTACACAAACATTGCAGTTCTTGCAGAGTTTGGCTCACGTTTGTCTTGAAGAATGCTCCCTTGGGGAAGGCACTTAGACTACTTTCTCTGCAACCGCACTCCTCTGTTCATTTGAATGAACACTTCTTTTATATGGGATGTCAAGGGGTCTCATAAATCTTTTCTCTGCTCTCATTTGCATGGTGGCTGGGATCCAATGGTACATGTCTCTTAGTGTCTGCTCATCAGTGTGAGAGAGGTTTTCCAAGAGCCTGGATTTGAGGCTCCTGTTATATTCTATACACTGAAGACTTTTCCTCTCTGCAAACTTAATGCATCAGATCTAATGACTCTCAGTATCTGTCAATCCATAACAACTGCACACTCACATGACTGAGATCCAACTTACATTTCAACATTTTCACTGCAACCTTGGACACCCGGTTTGGTTTCTCTTTGTCGAGACCCAGCACCTCCCCCATCACCACCTGACCGAAACAGCCTTCACCAAGCGGCTTCCCGAGAACAAGTCTGTGAGGGTAAGAAAACACACAAGACAACAGTTGACTATCAGTGGAGTCTGTATTAGTTTGGCCTTTTGTTTTAAACTTGGTTTTAAATTTAAGTCAATTTTAGACACTCGACTTCTGAGATAACGTTTGCTTGGCAAGATAGGACTTAGCAGAGGTATGTGCTCCCCAAGCATCCATCTAGTTTTACACAACATAATGTAGAAGTTGCCTTTCACAACCACCTATACATAAGTTTCTAGAGGATGTGTGAATTTGTCTTTGAACTTCTGTCCCAGCAGAAGAACTGTTCTGTTCTTTTCAGAAGATCATTTTCTAGCCGATAGGCTGTCATTGTCCAGCACGTACCTGCCCCGGGACAGCTCCCAGCGGGGATCTTGGGGCAGTTCATACTCTGACACGCCTGACAGCATTGGAGATCCACTGGAAGAGAGGCGGGAGGGGCGAACCAGCATCACTCCAGAGTGGATGGAGGAGCTGGAGTCCACAGACACCTGAGGTAAAGAACACTGATATTACTCCCCTCATAATGAAACGGACACCAGCTGCTTATTAAGTCAACAGAGATCAGGAGATGAATGAAAACAAAATTTCTATAAGAGCACGTAAACAACACCCACAACACTCGTATGTGTCCAGCCGATGGAGTTGAACCATTCCTTGAATACTTACCTTCTGCTCAAGAACTCAAGTCTCTACAATCAACCTGAAAGCTTTATGAACGCTTTTAGTTTTATCAGACGATTAGCCGCTGTGAAATTTTGTAGGGGAGTCAAACAAGTCAAATACATTGTTAACTTTGAATTCATAAAATTCTGAGATGTGGCAGAAAGAAGAGGTGAAAGGGTATAAATATTCCAAACCCCCTATCTACTTTCTGTTACCTGTCTGCGCAGAGGGATGCTTTTGGCCAGCTTGTGGACAGCCAGCTGACTGTTGAAGTCACTCTTCTTCGAGGAGGTGCGAATCTTGACGATAACTGCGATGGCGATCATGACGGCGATGAAGAAGAAACCCACGCAGTAGATGACCACCTCCAGGTAGGTGTGGCTGGCCGGTGGGTAGTGTGTAACAGCTAGGTGGGGGGGATCGCAAGGTGACAGGGGTCAGGGAGGGGTGGGGTCAGCTGTCAGGCATGAACTCACTTTTACATACACAAACACACCAAACATACCCATGCTTTCACGCACAACCCATGCTTTCACGCACATAGAAACACAAATAAAAAAAACAACTGGTCCACACAACACACACAGCTGCCATGGTTAAAAACCAGAGCCTTTGACACTTATTGGAAGTTAATTCCCTGAGCACAGTTTCGCTCTACATTAGGCTACATCCACACTATTACATTAGTTTTACAATGCATCACTGTTGTAATATTTACGTCTGCCATCCACACTAATCCACCTTTTTTGAGCAGTGAAGGCAAAGTGTTGCTAACACTTGCTGTCAGTAACAGTTCCACATGATAAACAATCTGCTTCCTGTTTAAACCAATAGCACAAGCCCAGTATATGCATGAATGATAATGTAATTATCAGGTGTATGAGTATGGATGGACAAAAGCCTTTTTAAAACTGAAATGTATTAGGATGGATGTTACCTTACTCTCTTTGAATCACTACTAAACCCAGATTCTGCGGTACACAAGGTAACAGTTTTTGATTCAGAAAAAGGGTTTAATTACAAACATTAATATTTTATTTGTTTATGTTACTATGTAATGGTTTCATTTATGTGTGTATCAGTGTGCAAAGGATCTGACTTTTAAACAATCCACACTTTACACACAATGTTTCAACACGGCAAATCATTTTCTACTTCAAACAATCCAGCTCACATATCATCTCTAAATGTAGGACTAACATAGCACTAACATCATAGCATGAGTTCAATACAGTAGTTTGAAGTCCCCATATTATGCTTTTACAGTTGTTCCTTTTTCTTAGTGCGTCATAACTTTTTGTGAATGTAAAAAGTCCACAGCAAAGCAAGACCTTCACACACACAGAAAACACAGCTCCCTAAGAGCCTGAAACACCTTGTTTGTATTCTTTGCTATTAACTATTTAACATAAAGTGTCAGAATCACTCAATTTACATGCAACATGCATGTCTGCCAACCAGCTAGCTTGAAATAAATTGGTACAGCAGGGCCAGCACCATTGTTACTATGAATAAATCTACTCTGGTAGACTCCCATGTTAAAATTATGAACCTGTAAATTGACAAAATATGGGTACTTCAAATGTTTGTCAAATGTATCATTTCCTTCATATTGTATTGTTAAAAGAGTTGGGTGTTGGTGCTGGTAATGTAAACAACATATTTATGATTTAAATTTTATCATAACTGCTAACATGTATAAAGAAACTATTCAATTCAGATCTTGTTTTTTTCCTCCCATTCAGTGAAAACACCAACGTTTATTCATACCGACACTGGGGGCGTAACGGACTCTGTATTTAAGTGAAATACATAGTTCGGGACATATCTTGGCTTGGGATGTGGATTTGAGAACAGGAGCTATCTATGAATCAATTTTTGTTTTGTTTTTACATAAATCTAAGCCTTAGTAGTTCCTGCCTTGTGCATTGTTATAAACACTTCTCAATTAACAAACATTGGACTTATTCACCCCATGGTATTTTTTCCAATGCACATTTTTATTCATGAAACACAAGCTTTTGTTCAGTAGTAGATATGAATTCTGGAGTTATTCTAACTTCTCATTTGATTTTACAGAGCCTGGAATTATTGCTTGGTTTTGTATTTTATAGATCCACATTTATTTATGTAATATATCGCCACTGAAAAATACTACATATGGAATATTTTTGTGTTATGTTGGTGGGATTTTATACCACACAACTTATTGTGTTTAAAAGCAACTACATGTAGAACAATTCATCCCAAACCAAGGGTCCCGAACTTACTGAAGTGTGCCGTTCCACCCCAAAACAACACCAGCAACACAAGTGAGCTGCACTTGTGTGAGGAGGCTGACTGACAAGCGGCATGATAATTGGACAAATGCCCATTCCAACCCTCAGGAATGAGGCACATCCACTACAGCAAGCCAATTATCAAAGCCAGCCGCTGTGCTCACAGCAGGAAATGACATCAGTAATACATGTCATTTGGAGCGCTTGTCAAAGGAGATCAGCTTCACACCGAATCAAATGCAAACACCAATTATAGAGTAGAATAGTGGAGAAAGTTCAAAGTGAAATCTGATCAGAGCTGCCAAACAATCCTTTTGAAATTGTAAAAAGGTAAATGGACTACACTTCACACACAGTTCAGTGTAATGCCCACTGAAACGCAGACTGGAGGAGCATGGGATTTAACCACCGACGTCTAATTAGTGGATGACCCGCTCTACCTCCTGTCATTCTACTTTACTTAAACGATTATAAAAAAAATAATGCTTGTTTTAATATGTTTATAATTTTTTATTGTTGGAGACAGCCCATGGGGTTGTTTGGCATTCTGAGATTTTATTTGAGAAACAGCAGAGCATGGCCTTGCACACGTCCATCTAGAGAGATGGAGCAGGAGCCATGCTGAGCACAGGGAGAGGGGGAGGGGGGGTTTAGTAATTGTAACTTGCTCTGGCTTCCATTCACAATTTCTTCACAGAAATTGAGTCAGAAAAGAACTCATTCTGGAATAAGTGAAGAGGGACAGCCAGGCTAGAGTTGGAAAATTTGAAAAATGGTAGAAATATAGGAAAGAGACAGAACTACTGATACCTTCAAAAACGGTCAACCATGCAGAGTGATGAGAGAACCCGATAGAATTGCCCGCCAAGCAGGTATACTCCCCAGCGTCATCAAAAGACACATTTCTCAGTTGGAGGACTTCCATTTCCTTGTCCGTGGTGTTAAGGCCAGCGGTCTAGAAAATAACAAAGGAAGCAGACCCAACAAGAGGCCCAAGAGGAAAAGGGAACCATGAGTAAAGGATTCTGAAAGAGAGAAAAGGGTAACAGAGGAGTGTTCTCCTCCACCATCCAAAACCATCTGCCCAGAAGGTACCACAGAGAGCCCCGGCAGAGGACTCTGTCAGGAAGAGCCCTCCAGTATCCGTTAGTGGAGGAGCTGGTTAGGTTAAGTCACATTGGTCCACCCCATCACCACATCAAATACCTCAGTCTCATCTCTACATGCAAGAGATGGGCAACATGGAAAACTCCGCAGCAGAACAGGCCACACTCAAAACTCTCACTTACACTTGTGCCAACTATGTGAGCATCAGACAAACAACAGGAGGTCTGTGAAACATAGGTAAGTAGAGGAGGACAGCTGGAAAAACAAAAAGAGACAAAAAGAGTCTGTGAGCTGCACACGGACAACTTTGAAGGGCAAGAGAGCGAGAGTAATAGAAGAAGATGGCAAGAGAGGCCCTTATTAGGAGGGCACCGCACAGGCATCGGGCAAGAATGAGAGCGGGTCCAACATAAACCTGAGAGCGAAACACTTTCAACTGTTCTGCTGGGAATTTTCCATAGCGTCATTTACAGTCAGGAGCACTGAGGCAGGAGAGAGGGAGGGAGAAACGAAGGGAGGGAGGAGAGAAACAGCTGAGGTTGTCTACAGTTATATGGCCCTAGTTTTTTCCAGGTGGTCCCAGAAGTGCCTCCACTGTGTCGTCCCTGTGCTGCTGCCTGGTGGTGGTGGTGGTGGTGGTGGTTACCTGTGGGCTCATATCTGGTGACAGTCAGCCAGGCCGACTGATTGGCCTCTCCTATATAATTGGACACTTTACATATATACTCTCCGCTCTCCTCCTCAGTCACATTGTAGAGGGTCAGCACCTGAGCGTCCGAACTATTGACCCCAGAATGCTGGAAATAAAAACAAGTCATGTGCAGCACAGACAAAAAGAAGCAGACACAATTAGAGCCCGGCCGATACAACTGGTTTGAGATTGATGAATATATTAGTATAACAATATAACCATTTTTTTCTAAATAAAAACACAGATAACTGGAAGATATACAGATAAAATGTTAATGATACAATTATATGAATGTATATATTTTCTTCATTGTTTATTCTGTAAAATACAAGTTGTTTTATGTTGAGTGCATATGTCAGCAAACACGGACACTCTCATATCTGCTAACTGATAAATTGGTCGGGCTCTAGAGACAATATCTTTGGTTTGTGTAGGTTATTTCAGTTACACTAGCAACATTTATTACAACTTCAAATACTGTTTGAAAGAAGTACTGAACCAAACTGCCAAACTTGGTGGAGGGAAGAGGCAGGGATAAGAGAATAACCCATAACATTCATGTGGGGTTACTAGGAGAAGATGTGACATTTCTGCCAATTCCTCTGGAAATAATGTAGAAATCTTGGAGTAACAATTTCCTTCAACCCATATTTTTGGTCTTTGCAGAGGTGTGCACACTAGTGCTAGTTTGGACAACTTTTAAATCAGATGTTATAACGTTGTAGAAACACATGCAGAAGTTGGGCATGGTGTGGCAGGACTGGTCAGAGTGAGCTCCTACCTTGAGGACACGGACGTAAGGTAAACCATCATGACCAACGCGGCTCCCGTTCACCTCGATGTGCTTCAGCCACTGGATGTGAGGCTGAGGGTCACTGAACACCTTGCACTCGAACTCTACGTCACTGCCCACTGCTACTGTACGATTAGCTGGTAGACCAGCCTGCAGGATCGGCCTGTGGGGAGACCGCTCTGCAACACAAACAAAAAGGTGCACAAATGTTAGTTTGGTGAGTAGAGAAGCAAACATGTAATATTAAAAACAAACAAACATATCATATGCAAACACAGCTGACCTATTTTCAAAAATAAAACAAAGAAAACCTCGGTCACATCAAGGCTTTTACTGGAAATTACTGGAGCTGATGGTAAATAAAGGGGGCTTTATAATTTGTTCTGATAATTTTACGGATGTTACGGATTACAATTTCTCATATTTTAAATTTAAAGACTTCAAAGTAGCTTCTTCCTCAGCTGTGTGCTGCTTATGTAATGATTGAGTCACAATAAATGTTAGAGTTAGTTAAAGTTCCAGTGTGTAAGATTTAGATTAAAGGGATCTATTGGAAGAATAGAATATAAAATAATCCTAGTGATGTGTTCACTAGTGTGTTTCTTCTAAATTATATGAATTGTGATTTTCTTTTCCCCAGAATAAGCGCTTTATATTTTAATACTTTATATTTACATCAGGAGCGGGTCCTCTCTACGGAGGCCGGCATGTTTTTGTCTGACTGTACAAACTAAACACCTTTTGAGTTTTTATGACAACCACAGGTTCTCTTTCATGTTTGGAAGGAGAGGGTGAGGTGAGGGGTGTTCAGCTGCAACATGCAACTTCACCACCAAATTTTACACACTTGAACTTTAAATGTGTCATTTGGAGCAGTTACTGTGAAATGAAATGTTCTTGTGTCTCCTTGGTGATGACTGATAACTCTCCAAAGTAAACTCATGAGCCAAGAACCTGGCCGGGTTTCAACTCAGTCAGTCCCGGGGGAACTTTGTAAGCACTTGTGACAAAAACTCTCCTGTCACTGCACGATCTCACAGTTCATTAGGTTCTTGACTTCTGACGTCACGGCAGAGCTCAGGGGATAACGGAGACAGAGGAAGTGGGATCGTGGTTTATAAGACCAGTGGTGTTAGACTGAGTCACAGTTCAGCTCCTTGAGGAGTAATCACCTCTCTCCTCAGCATAACTCCATTATAAAGCCACAAGTGCAAGATTAATTTGTCAAATGGCTGATAAACAGAGATTTCACCAAACATTAGGGCAAAACAACTGTCACATCTGATTGGTAAGGATGTTGTAAAACTTGAATGTCCAACAGGTGATTGAACCATAATCAATAATTGACAAATTATAAAACATAATACAGTTAATACTCACCGACTACATCTAGCTGGTAGGTGTGATTGATGCTGCCATACTGGTTTTCCACCACACAGGTATAGTTTCCCTTGTCAGAGGGAACTACAGATTCCATGATGATGGTCCAGACGTGGTCACGCACCTAAACATTTAGAGGAAAAGACAAAAAGGTTTCAGTGGCTGACGTCTAGAACAGCACTTGATAACCAAAAACTAAAATCATGGGTCAGATAGAACTCAGTGATCATAGTGCAATTTATATTTCAATAGTTAATTATAGTTAACTAGTAGAATAGTACAGCAGGCATAGTATTTGTCAGGCGGAGGGATTTATCAAACTGGTTATTGTATGAGGCACAGCAGGTCAAACTGCAGCTGTGTTGAACAGATCATTTTTTGGTGGCTGTGGATTTCTTCACCAAAAATCTGTCAGTGCAGATCGTTTTATTTCCTGTCCATAACAGAAATGTGAAGAATGAGCAAAGCAACACTGAGCTTTTTTCTGCACCCGTGTTCCCGATATGAAGTGCAGCGAATATTATTTTTAATCTTAAAAGCAATGGCTAAGTTCAATGATGTGTGATGTGATAATAACAAAATAACACACTGCTCCCTCTTCCTGTGACACCACCCAATGTTTTTTAACAGATCTTTGTCCTACCTAACAAAGACCAAAGGGAAAAACGGGTAGATGTTTAATACACATCTGCCCCAACATGTCTTATTAGCGCCAACTGATGTCTGGCTCTTTTTTTTCCAGAGACATGTTATAATTTTTCTTCCATAAATCTGCCAAGACCAGCAGCGTGTGATTAACCAACCAACCTCTTAGGCAATGGCAACATCAAACATGCATATACAGAGACCGAGCCATACCGTTTCCCTCATTTACTCAAAAACATGATGAGGGAGTCCAGCTGCCTGCTGCCAGATGTGTTGTGCTTGGCTTCATATACATGTGGTCTATATTACTCCCCACCATCCTGCACGTCTCCATGCAGACAATATGAACAATAGAAGCCCGGCCATAAAAGCAAGAGTGTGGGAGGGATGACAGACGTCCCTGGCCACTGATGCAGACCTTTGCACCTTGACTGAAAAAAACAGCAGCCAGATGGCTAAGTGTGCTGCCTGGCTGGGTGGTGGTGGTGGGGGAGCTTGAGGAGGGAGGGGAGGCAGGCAGCTGAGAGGAAACTCCTAAATGTGTCCCAGCTGGGGAGGGAGATGGAGCTGGGGAAGCACAAGACAAGGCTGGACTGGCCTACACCTTGATGGGAAGAGCAGATGCTGGGAAAGGAAGATGGTTGTTTCCTTGTCTCTGTGAACGTGCACATGCATCCCACACCTGTGGAGCAACTGCCAGTGAATACAGCCATTCATAGACGAGTCTCAACTTAGGTACATAAAGCATTTACAGCTTTCTAATACATAATGACCAAATTACGTGTTGGATGATAAGGTTGTGGATAAATACAATGACTGGCCCTCATAATTTTCTTGTGCACAAAAGGAAATTATGTTTAAAAACGGATTAATTATGGTCTCTCAGGGCTCATGGTATCATTTACAGTTAACGATGGTGATATAATAGATGGAGTCCACACCCATAACCTGCCACACCTCTTCTGAGTAAATCTACAGACTGGTGTAAACTGTCTTATCAACCATTATAACCTCGCACTTTATCAGCAGTTAACGTCACATCTTAACACAGCCCGTCTGGAAATGGGAATATGCAGACAAAAAGAGGAATGGTGCACATGATTTATAACCGATACACTAAGTATCATGGCAAATTTACTGCTGCACGGATGTAATTACAAGAAAGACGATGCAGTGAAAAGCAGAATGGGGACAGCCAAAGTTATCTCTCAGCCAAATGTGCGGCTAGGATTGCCCACCTGGAGGTATTATTCCTTTTTGTGGTGTAGTGTTTCATCTTGCGTTGTTTCTCAGGTTAAATATGAAACTTTTTATTTGCAGAGAGCGTTTCTTACTCCAGGGAAGAGTGTGTAGTGATATAATGTGAGATGAGATCAAGGACACATCTTCACTTGCAGGGAATGAGTTCAGAGTGATTCAATAAGAAATGCTAAAGTGGGTGTAGCATCTTCGAGAAGAAAATGGAGGGAAGACATTTACAACAAAATATAATTACTAACCTTGAAGCCTCCGATGCGATGGTCTCTCTTGAACTCTTTTCCATTCTTGTACCATTTCAAAGTAGGAGTAGGGTTGCCGCTGGCCTGGCACCGAAACTTCACTGTCTTACTGGCTGGGACAGCGTGAAGCTTTTTCTCCATTTTTTCTGGATGAGCCCACTGTGGAGCCATTGCTAAAGAATAATATGGAAAAAACTGTTAAGAAATGATTGACAAAAACAATTATGCTGGCTTTGAAATAGATGGGAAAAAAAGCCATTAAAGCAACAGAGTTACATTATTAACTTGATCCTACAGTTAGGAAAAAAAATTTTTTGTTTGCTTAACTTTGGAACTTGATGAATATGAGGATAGATGGTGAAAATGTATTGAAGCTGAGGGCTGGAATGAAACTTGACCGTAAAACATCATTATGCAATTGTTTTGTTTGTTTATTTATGTATTTTATTTTACTAGTTAGGTTGTTGGGCCTGTTGATAAGATTGTACTAATATATGAATCATGTAATTTGTGCTGTTTTCTGCTCCTTGGTGACTTACGTAAAGTCTTGAGGTTATGAAAATGAAATTTAAAAAAAAGAATAACAGGAAAAAAACAGAACACAAGCGACAGGTACAATTATGGCTCTGAAGTAGATACAAAAAAACGGTGCGGATTTTACACATAGAACACGCATGTTCACAAAAAATGTCTAATTTAGTTACAGTGCGTGGTTTCTCAAAATAGTACCCCGATCCTTTTCTTTTTGATGCTGTGGCTTCAAAATTGCCTCAGTTAAGTGATATCATGTTGTGTAAATTTCAGGGGGAGATGAAACTCTGGGAGTAGGAGCATAGACTCCAGGTTGGAATGCTCGCCACACTTCTTTGTGGGAAGAGTGGACAGTAGCAGCCAAATGATTAAGCCTGGGTGTCTTAATTGCTCTTTGGACAAATTGGAAGACATGTAAGGTTAACCACGGTTAGTCACCACAGGGACATTCTTCGTATAAAAGCTGTCACAGGGGTAGTGAAAACCCTCTGATTCACAGTGAAATCATTCACCCTAATGTGACACACACATACACACACACACCCATGATTGAATCATAAAGCTCTCAGATCACTGACTATTCACGACACTTAGTCATTACCTCTTACTTTGGGGCAACAAGTAATGACCGTTTGTTACAGTAGCATGGGTAAGCATTAGTAATGTGACAGATCAGCACACTTACGCAGTAGTTTCTGACTGCCCAACAGTTTGGCCTCCTCTGATGAAGACTCCTCATCTTCATCATCATCCTCAGATGATGCCATATCAACTAGTGAAACAGAAAACAATTGTGAGGCCAAAGACAATTCATTAATTATTTACATTTATACTGATCCGTGCAGTAGGGTCAGTATGTAAAGTGTGTGCATTAAGTGATATGCACAGACTTCGACTAGTGGAGGTGATTCACACCTTTTTCAAATCAACTTTAACTCAGTGGTTGCAGATCATGCAAATGTGATCAAATTCACTGGTTCAAAACATCATAGTGAAACAAATACAAGAGAAAAATGAATTGTCTGGTCATAGAGGCAATGTGATGTTGAAAACAGAGATACCAAACATTTTTACCATAACATTAAAAAGTAAAACTGTAACATTCATACTGATCAAAGCATCAATATATCTTTGTGTTTAAGTGAGACACATTTTCAATGCTTTTACTGCCCAATACTAATTTGTGATGGTAAAACTATGCTTGTATATGCATGTTTACATCAAGACAGCATGTGATATTCTGTGACAAAAAATAAAAGTGCCAATTTATCTGCTCCGTTTCCATAACTTTACCTGTGACGTTGAAGTAGAGGCTGTGGTTGCCAAAGGTGGTGCATGCGTACAGACCAGAGTCCGTCAGCTCCACCGCCTTGATCTCCAGCTGCCCATTGCGGATGTGTGTGTGTTCTCCATCGACTACAACCACATGGTCTTTGGTCCAGTTGACAGCATGGATTTGTTCCTTGGCAGAGCAACTAAGATCCAGATGCTCACCAAGGTAGAGCGTGAACAGCTCTGCTTGTGTTTCCACAAGGACTGCAAAGGAAACATAGCACAAGGTTCTGCTTAATCAGATCAGTCAGCTTTTTAACACCAAATGTAAGAAAACATATTCACAATAACATGCCTCCATGAACACGAAACAATATCAAGGGTACAAACTATGATACATACTACAAGGTATTCACAATAGGATAAATTCCCAGTCAAATAAACTGTATCTTATCTCTGGCTGAATAAACAGTAGCTGAGCGTCTACAATGTTCAAAGTCCTGTCACATAAACATGTATACATAAAATGTATCTTTAAGATAAAACACATCACAAACTACTTCAATCATGAAACAGCGTCCAAAAGACAGCAGAGAAGAGCTTTCCTGATTTCCTCTCCGGCACAACGCCTGCTTAACCTCTCCCAAAAATGAAATCGCATCCCAAATTAGTCAAGGCTCCAACGACAAGCAGGCAGGCAAAGAGGTACTTGGGGGAAGGAAGGTGAAATTTAATTCGAGGGATGAAGAGAGGGGCGACGTCACTGAATGAGACACCTGAGCCCCCCTGTTCAAAATGACTACATAGTCCAAGAGGGGGAGGGGGTAACTCAATTATTATGACACGATGTCCATCACTGTGGTGTTGTTTTTCTCATTACAAAAAGGTGAAGACCGCCACTGGACAACCTGCTTGACATTTGGGATCTGGGATCACACACATAAAAAACACACACATATGGTATGCTGTTCTGATGAAGTCGACTGATTTTGTGGAAGCTAATAATTATAATATACCATCAAAATAGCTGCTTTTAATATTTTACATAGACTAAATATTTATTCTAATAATAATAATACTAATCCCTTCAGCTTTGACTGATGCTGTGGCATCTCTGAAGAAATCCCTTGTTGCAGTAATGGAACAGAAATTTTGTCATTAGTGTCCAAACGGTAACAACACATGAATATTACTTAGAGAGAAATTATTTCTTTCCCAATCCTGAGCATATATTTATTACTGATGTATTTCTTGACATTTATTTATTTTGAATTCCTCCCGTATAGTTTTATGTACATGGTTTGAGGGAAGTTTCACCTTTTGCAATTATTATTTTCCATATTTTTTTGGGGCTTTTTATTTTAAGGGTTAATGTTTGGATGTCTACCTTGTTCCATTTATATGAAGGACTGGAGGGACCTGGACTGATAAAGAGGTGAGGCGAGCCTCATGTGAAATCATGTCGATGTTGCTCCTGCTTGCCTCTCTTCCCCCTGGGACTATCTGAAAGCCTTTACACAAACATAATTGCTGATAATGTATGAGCTGCATTGTACTGCCTTCAGTGACCCGTCTGTTTAGTTTTAATTTGTAATTTTGTATTCTACAAAACAAATCCACAAAAATAGAGTACTGAAAATTAGTTATCTCCTGCACAGTCTGTTTAGTTTTGTAACAAGAAAACCTGACGTAGACAACCTAATGCCATAGTGGTGAGCAATCCCTCAAAATGGGATCAATCTGGACTGTTCTCGGAGCTCACTGTGTGTTTGCAAGTGCACTTCCTAACAACAGGAAGCACATCTATATAGCATAACCTCAGGACAACACAAGCAAACTTGACTAATCCCTTCCACCATCACAACAAAGGCATCCACACAATAAAGGGGGAAGAGGGAGCAGGGAGAGCGAGCCAGTGAGCATGTGCACAGGAGCAAGCAGGAGAGGGCCTGCAGCAGCAGGTTCTAGTGCCAGTTGCTATGGTGACCCCACTTGGGCCTAGTAAAGGTATTTCCTGGATCACATTTGTCTGACAGGCCCTTAATCCCAGAAGGAAAAGGGGCCGGGGGGTAGGATCAACTTTCTCCTCAAAAACAAAACTAAAGGGGGTGAAAGCAGAACAGGCATTTAGTGATGGGCTACAGCTATCCAACCTGGACACGGCCGTAAACACCAGTTCTCTGCTCTGCGTGCGTGTGTGTGTGTGTGTGCGTGTGTGCGTGTGTGCGTGTTGCCTGTGTTTCTGTCCCTGCCCTCTAAATGGAGATGCCACAGATAAGACTGTGTCAACATCCCAGCTGTTAATGTGGCTGCAGACATCATAAAACGCCCATAAAAGCCGTAAAATTTGCTTGTTACTTTATTGTCGGCCATTTGTGCTTCTGTGACAAGCTACTTAAAACTCACGCAAAATACAACAAATATTGTCAAACAAACCAAGCCACTGTCTAAAAAACAGAACATTGGCCTGACTTCTTCAGTGTAGAAAATACTTTGTTCACTCACAGTTTATTTGTTTTCATCTCTATATATGGAGCTGGTGGCCAAGTTCCCAACATTTCCTTTGGATCTGAGGATGTTTCATCTCCGTTAATCCTCCTGCTGCTATGACTGGATTAAAATGGATTAAGAACCATATTTTCAGAAAGCAATCCATCTGGAATGGTCTTGCATGTGTTCTTCCAACCATTTGGAAAAATTGATTGACATAATTTATAATCAGCCTAATTACGTAAATCGTGAAAAGAATGTTGTTTCAGTTGAAAGCTTTGGGAGGTTTTTAACCTGGACCGGGGGGAAAGGTCACTAGTCTGCAAATTCAAGATCAACTAAAAGGAAGAGTTGGCGCCAGTCTATGGAACCTTCTTTGGCGAAAAGATAGGAAGCAATATGCCGCGTGAATGACTTCTGGGATTTCCTGCTCTCGCAGGAGTGATGGTTGAATGCAGTGAAGTCGGACCGGTTGAGGCTCTGCTGTGGCACACAGAGAAAAGGGGGCTATGGCAAGTTTTCTTTGCTGATCTGACCATACCAGAGTGAATGGATGGGTGACGTGTAGAGGGGATTGATAAGAGACAAAAGACAGGACTGGCAGGAAGCAAGAGAATAGGACAATGCCTATTAGCAAGCCCCCCCTCCAAAAAAAATTCACTGAGCGAGTGTCCCTCCTGAAAGCACTCCAGTGGAGGACCTTTTCATTCCCAAATGAGCCACTGGCAATCAGCATGGATTAACACTTAGGAGCTACAATGATTACTATGCAGTGCAAAGCTCTTCCACAGTCATTCAAACAAGTTCAGCTATATTTAGAGTTACATTATGTCTTTAATGGACAAACTAGGGTGTCCTAAATGAATGAAGCTGTGCTGCTTCTTCCATTTGCTCTGTGTCCATTTTGCCTCAGAAACCAGAAAAATCACAGCCTCCTTAAAAAAAATCCAACAAAAATGCACATGATGCTTTACAGATAAATTAATGCATCTCACTTAAAAAACAAACACACAGACCAATGTCCTTCTTCATTTGACTTGACCATTTTCTTTTCCGTAATCTGCAGTGTTGCTTACGGATTGAGAAAGTTTATCAAACTGCATCAGAGTGATCATGAGAACATTTCCTCCACCTTTTGGATATTTTACCAAGACGGTATTTTGCATCATACCTCATAATGTGTGCACACAAGTGCAGCTCTTTTACAAAAAAACACAACATTGAGTTACCATTCCCGGAAACATATAAAACATGTCCCCATCTATTGCTCGTTTTTATCCACCATTCATACAAATGATTATCAAAAATGAATTTTTTTGCATCATGTTGAATCCTGAATCATTAAGATTATTTTTCTCTTGTTTTGAAATTGCCATCCGGTTGCCCAGTGTTCATACTAAAAGATAAAATGTTAATTGATGAAAAATATAAGGGAGAATGTGGCCTTATTACAATATAATGTCATTGACAGATAATGGTAGTTATCCTTGAGGTGAGATTACTTCTGACAGGCAGCATGTTATATTGGTCTGGTGTTAACCCTTAAATGTACACTCTGTTCTCAGAGAGTCAGCGAGGCTGTGCTCCACTGGGGCCCTGCTTTTCCTCTGAAAAGAGTCTATTTAGAACTGTGGCAGCTTCGAATCTTAAGAGCCCCACACTAAAGGGTCGGTGGCTCTTCTACTTTGACTGACAGCAGAGCAAAGAAATCCACTAGGAGCAACAAATACATATCTGCCTGCAATTCACTATCACAGCTTAAAATATACAGAATGGTTTGAATGTTTCTGGTAGAAAACAGTTGAGCTCCAATCTGTGATCACAATAACAAAAAGTTAAACGGGCTGTAATCATTTGAATGAAAGTGCATGTGGCCCCTGCAATTATCCTATGAGCTGAATTTGTTCAGTGAATATTCTTTTCTTATGTGAACAACACACAACAACACCCCCCAAGACCAACAATGAAGCGTGCATAAAACATGGCCATTTCCATATAACTATTTTGTTTCCTCACCCAAGACAAAGAGGAATGCAACCAAATGCTTCTGCTCTGATTGTTTGTCGACAGCTGAAGCCATCCGTCACCCAGCAGGGAGGCAGGGGGGGAAAGTGTAGCATTCCCAAGCACAAGCCAGCGGGGGAGCAGGAGGAAAAGCACAGAGACGCATAGATAGTACCTGGCCATTTGGTGATTAAGAACTGTGGAGTGTAAATGCATCAGACTTCCCCCACCCCTGTGGAAATTTATGGCTCACCTTAGAAGACAAACATTCTCTTCAGAAACCCTATCCTTGAGGATAAGGGGGGGCTCAAGGTAGCATCTTCTTTCCTTTTTTCAAAAAAACTAAATTATAGTTTCCCTGGCAGTTAACTCCTCTCTCAGTGACAACAAATACCTTTTCATTACAAAAGGAGGAGAGGAGCAGGGACTGCCAGGTAGTGGGGCTGCCCTTAGGCTACACATGGGAGTCATTTTCTCCTCCCTGTCCCACTGTTGGCTTAAACACAGCCGCACCAAGTTTATTTTAGGGCTTACAGCCCAAGAGAGACCCTCTTGCTTAATTACTCTAATTATAATGCTGAGCTTTATCATATTCTTTTGCTGCTCTCCACTTCCGACTGCAGAGTGTAAACATCCAAACCCATCTGCCCACAAGTCCAGGCAGCTATTACACCGCTGGACTGAATCCAAGAGACGCATTTTTAAGGATTCAATTTCAGTGCCTCATTCCCCTTTTCAGAACTAAACTTGTGTAGCAGCCAAAACCAGAAAATCTTAGAGTTGTTCTGTCCACATTAAGAGCTAATTAAAATGGTTTAAACTAAGTTTTGTAAAAAAGTATGTTTTCCTAGTAACACATTTCTAATAAGTTCAGGGATTTGAATAACCTCAGTTAGGCAGGAAAGGGGGTGGAAGTTTTTTTTTAACCAATTGTCAAAAACAGAGTTGTGCTACAACTGACAGATTCCAGTTCACTCAAACAACATCAGACTCAAATGGAGGTGGTTAGGGAAACAGTGACACTACAAAGGAGCGACTTCACCAAAGCCTGGAGTGTGTTAGGATTACATTCCTGCTCCAAGAACAAAGCTTTGATTATCAATGGACTGTTTCTCAAGGCAAGAGTCAAGATAAGCCAGACTAAATACTTAAAGTTGATTAGTTCAAATACTTACACCATATTTAATAATACTACAAACAGAACTAAGAAATAAAAGTGTTCAAATGCAGTGGTAGTAGCTTCAAGTTATAGAGCAAACTTACCTTCATCAGTATTGGCTGGTCGACCCTGCGTCCTTAAAACGTGGGCAAATAAAGCCAGAAACAGAAGTAAACTTTGCCTCATCAGCATCCTGCTGAGGTAGCTACAACTTTTGGCTTTTCTGCGACTGGAACTCCATTCAGAATTTTGGGGCATCAGCAGTGGGTCATCCGCAGTGCTCGGCTGAAAATAAACAAAACAGAAAATATATGAATGAATAAAAACAAACAATTGCATGACCACGTGAACAATCCTCATGTCTTTATGGTGTGGTTTTCAGTAAGAAAAACGATACGCCAAAATCAATTAGAAAAATACAAGACAGAAACGAGGCCAATTAAAACCTTCGAAGTGCTGCTCAGTGGAATATATTCTCTGTAAGCTCATTTTTACTGATGTTTTAGTGACATGGAAATTCCTTGTTTGTCTAAAAAGAAGAGGATATTCTGTTCTGTTCAAGGTAAGAACTTCAGGATTTAGGGCTGCTTGTACCAAACCACTGATAAGAAGCCCCCGACCAGCCTCACTCTGATATCTCAAGGAAAATAAAGAGCGCAACGCTCAGTTCTTTGGAATGAAACATTTGATTTTCAAAACCATCAAAGTTTGAGAACATAAAGTCGTAACACTCACATGCTGTCATATCAATTTTCCTTATTTTTATTTTGGAGTTGAAGGATGTACAGTACCCTCCGAAACGGGCGGAGAGCAGTGGGTGACCCTCACATGCACATCTGCTCGCATCATCACCTCTGCAGCATCTGGCCACAGAGATTAACACTTGCCCCTAACCCCCATAACCCCCCTTGAGGAATTTGTTTAAGGCCAAAAAAACTACAGCCTGCCACATGACACCCTTGTAGAGAGAGATCGCTAGACCCATCATTTCCACGCTGAGAGATCTATCACCTAACAGTTGGTTTTGGTCCCTAAGCCTAAAATGACCCCCCTGCAACCATTTGCTCCCATGAGCTGCCAAGAAGTGTCAAACAAATGCTGTTATTAGGGTTTCTTCACTCATCTTAATGAAGACCTGGGAAATCAGAAAAGAAGAAATATGTTGCCCTGAATGAATCCAAGATATCTATCCAGGTCCATTCTGCTCAACTACCACAACATGAGTCGTATGTGAGTCAGAGAAACCCCAACATGGCTTATGTTTTCACACAACGCCATGTTCAGATGCAGCTGTGTTTTCTTTTAGAAGGTAATCGCTTGTGTGAGCGATCATCACTGAAACCATCATTGTGTTCTGCTCAAAACCAATTCAATTTCTCTTTCCAAGAATGGTCTAGTGTTCTAGCAGCTGAGCTGGGTCAGGGGGGTCCGAGGGGGATAAAGAAGCTTGGTCATTGCAGCTTTGTATGCAGTGAGTCAGTCTTTGGGAGGGCTCCAAGAAAAGTTTGCCTGCTGCCAGACAGAAGGAACAGCAAAGAGCAGCCGACCGAGTTCCCCGGGCCCCTGGTCTCTACAACAGCCATCAATAATTGAAACAGGAGGAAGTAGCTTCTTTAAACGTATGACACAACGCTTTGTCATACAAAAACATATGTACTCTACGTCTTACTATCTACATACACATAGCAGGATTAACTCAAACTTTTAAGTCTGAACAGAGAGTGACCCACACAAAGCCGGCAGCCCATACTGGACAGCACTGTTCATTCACTTTCATAAGAAAAAGCTATAGTAGTAAATCATAAAATATTGTCGGTTTGAGTGTACGGCTGATCAGTATTTTAGTGATTGTTATTATTTAAGATGAAATGATAAATGAGTAGGCCAATATATTGATCTGTGTGAAAAGATCAAGAAATAAGAGAATAAAAATTAATTGTACTAACTTAGAAATAGTTTAACCATTACATAGGTTAATTTTTTAAACTGTAAAATACCCTACTTTGTATCTCACTAATTTCTCCATTATTTAAAGACAAATCTATAATCAGCATGGGCATATTCAATTTATTTTTATAGTTACCAATGTTGAACTGTAAATACATGAGTGAATGAACCCTTAACACACTGAGGATACACAACAGCTACAATTAATTCATTGGTCAAGGTAGGTTGAAAAAAAAGTATACATTTATTCACTTCCAACATAATTTCGGTTGTGTTGTGTTGAGACCGAGAGGCAAGTCTAAAGCCTCAAATCAGACCAAGACCAACCCCTGCTGATAAAGTTAATGTAACTTAATGTACTTCTTTTAGTGTGTAACCTTCGTGTTTCCAGCTGACCTTTTCTGACATTATGACACAATTTTGTGTCACAATTTTATTGTTGTGTTTTTAGAAAGAAATAAGAAATGACTCAAATAACATTTTCAGCTCAAAAAACAAACATTCTAGTTAAAAAGAAACTTTTTGAGCTAATTTGTCGGGTAACAAAATATGTATAAAATCACATCAGTAAAGTCTTGCATTTCTCTGCTGTTCAGAGAAGACAACATTTCCCTGAAAATCTGGCAAGAAAATGGGGTTAAACTAAACTGATTAGAAGATGCAAGACACATTTAGCTTTTCTCATTATACAAAGACAAAGGTTACAAGCCTAACCCATAACATGACCTGCACCATAATTACTGTTCACCACCATCCATGCATAAAATTCCTCAGCTCTGAAATTCTGTAGCCCCCTTCCCAACTAAAGTCTGCACTCGCAGCCAGCAACAGGCCCGTCTGCACACGGCTGCAGTTCAGCAGAGATAAGAGCATCAGACCATTTCCCCCAAGGCTAATGTTTTCACAAAAACACACACCTTTTTTTCTCTCCTTGCAGTCTCACAATCTGAATCAGTGGTTTGCCAGCAGCGTGCCGCAGAATGCGATCGGGTGTCAAGAGATTACACTCCAATGTAAAGACAATTAATGTCAAGCCATTTGACACTGTGCCATTTGGTTGACACTCTGACTGAAATTGATTTTCAGTAAGTTCAGTTCTGTATGTGTTTTCAATCTGACTTTTAGATCAAGTAACAAAGCTCATCTAAATCTGGAGATGTTAGGAACGTGCACCGGATATTTGGTGTATATAAATTTATTTTGTTAATTATCGCACGCATTAAATCAAATGACACCCTCAACGTCTAGTAAACAACTACAATATCAATCTGAAACATGAGTGACCACAATTTACACTCACAAAAACAATTTATGATTGTTTAAGCTATAATAAACAGAATTATACAGCTCTAGTGTCAATCCTGTGCCAGGGCAACAGTCTGGTAAATTAAAGGGCAGGACTATTCCTCACTTCCCATTATATGGTTCAGGAAAAAACTTGTGATGTCCCTGTGGACATGTTGCTTCTCTAAACCATCCATCTTCTCTCCCCTCTCCCTTTAATGACATGACATTTGGAGCTTTATATATAAAACACATAGGCCTGAATCCTCAAGACTTCAGACTTCAGGACAGATGTAGGAATGATAGCTTTGGACTTGCCGCACCACATTTCATAAGCAACAACGTTAATAGAATTTTAAACCTTTATTGGTTACGTTTGATAGTTTTGTGTCATATGCACAAGGCACAAGACAACGACTTGGATCAATATGCAGAGCTACAACACAAATGATTACACTCCTGCAAACTTATATCAAAAGAGAGTGTAGAAAGACGTGGAGTGGCTCCATGATGCCAAAATCCTTGGTATAAAAGGGAGAACGACCACATTGTGCAGCTTTGTAGGTTTTACCTTGTGAGAACTATTGATCCAACTTAGATATCAGATCTAAATTTAAGTTTCTTTAGATGGAAAACGTAGACAGTTTTAACAGGACAGGCAACATGTAGGCCTTTAACCTTACTGTTTGTACCCTCTCATTGTCAAGCAGAGAGACTGAGGTTTAGCACGCATGGAACATGGCCACGAGAAAACTAAATACTCATGAAAACTTTCATTTTTTCAACTTTCAAAATTCCAGAACACAGCAAATAATTCTATAAGGAAAAAGAGTTGGTCGAATGTGAAAAACTAGATAGATGTCAATTTAACAGCCACGTTATTATTAACAAATCATCGCGACACATCGGAGCTAACCTCGGTGTGGGCAAACATTAAAGGAAAATCAAAGGACAAGGAGTAAAAACGAGAAGAACTCACCTCACAGACAGGGGGCTGTGAAACAGACTGCTGGGCTCAAACAGGACGGAGGAAAACTTCCAGAAAACAGTATATCCAGATATAAAACGTGCGGAACAATCGTATTCCCAGCTATCAGCGTTTAGCTAACAAGTTTGCGCATATTTTCACCAAACTTGAGCGGCAGAGGAAAAGAATGTGCGTCCCCCCTGCGTCCAAAACCCAGTAGATAATCGACAGAGCGGGAAAAGACCCGTAAAAAACCGTAAAAGAAAAGTAACTTACAGTTAATTTAAAAAAAAGAAACACTGGGGACTTGTCTTCACACGCTTCTTTATCCCACCGTGCTGACCTGAGGAGATCAGCCGGAGCAGCTACGTGAGAGCAGCCAGTGCTTCAGCCCCTTTATCCCAAAAACGTTCCGCTCGCGATCAAACCAAAGTGTCCTCACCTCCGCAAACTGTGATCTCAGACTTGCCCAACTCGCTCTAACGCAGAGAAGCAGCCGTGTTGTATTCCTACAGACAGGGAGGCTTTGCGGTGAATCCTAGAAAGTACTGAGCACATTCCTTTCGGAGAGAGAAACGCTGTGAGACAACGAGAGTCCGAGGCGCTCCAGACCTCCCCCCTTAAATCTGAGAGTGAGCGCATCCTCCGGACCAGCGACAACACAGAGGCAGTGACACACACAACATCCGGTCTCTGGCTCCACAATAAAAGCCAACAACAGAAACACCCAGCCCAATGCGAACGCTCGATTCTAAGAGGCAGGGGTTGGCTGAATAACTCTGCTAGACTGAAGTAAACAGAGCTGGCTGAATATGTAACCCAGGTGATTAGTTATTTCTGCTTCGTGAGACAGGACCCAGGTAATTTTAGCTCCGACATGGCCATAGAGTGCTCATGTGTGCCAGGCGGTTGTTGTTTAGATGAAAAATGAAAAGTAAGCATTGTTCTAACAAAAACAAAAGAGGGCAAAATATTCATCCACGTACAAACGTGTCCTTTATGTTTTATTTACTTCTTACTATTAGTTAAAGATACAATGTGATTCAAATTCAAGATGCAGTGGCACAAGATGACTGCACAGGGATGTAAATGGAGTAAATATGGACACATCCATTACAATATCTCATACGTAAATACCCTATATGAAAATGATTTATCAATATATTCACTCCACCTCCACAATAAAAAGGTATGATTGTCGTTTTGCTCCACACAAATGCTGATCCCCCTGTGACGAAAGTGAAGCTTTTACTTTGAAAGTCATATCAGTGGAATTCTGGCATTATCCATGCTTTTATTTTCTAACTTGTTGCAGGTCTTCTCCCCCTGCCAGCCACAGCACCTCTCCAGCCCAGAGCGAGCAAGTCTCCTCACCGCGCTCTTTGCATTGTGGGATAGGAAACCGACACAATACACAGCCTAGTATTTTCACGTCAAATAAACATCAAATAAAGCACTCCTGAATTACATTTCACTTATCACAGTGAACTACATAAAGAACAACTGCAAACTACAACCTCAGATTTGATCACAACAAAACACTATGTAATGATTCACAGGATAGTAAATGTAACCAGGATCCCTATCAAGTTACTGAATTCAACAAAACAACACTTAATGGACCTCAGTACAAAGGCTTGATCACCACATTTACCTTGAAAGGACAATAAGGATCACTGAACATTTAAAAAATAAGTTGTTTTCCAAGTACAACTTTTCCAAACCAACAGTATAATGTTCTTGAAAAGCTTATGTATGAGGACAAAGGTTTTTATCAGTGTAAACAGAAGTGTAAAGAGATGTTTAGCATGTGAATGGACAGACAGTGATATGAGTCTGTATCTGAGGAGGGCCATTTATTTTAATTTAAAGCAATTTAGATAAACAACATCAATACTCACAGACAGAAAACATGCACTTTCATCAACTTCCCATTCAAAGCAACTATAAAAGAGCGTTATTGTGCTGGCGTGAAGATCATATGCTTTGGCAGCATTTCAAAGAGCATAATAATTAATGTATCTGCGAGCTCAGCACAAACACAAGTTTGCTCCATCTGATCAAGCACATAGTTCATATCTGAGAACTAAAATTTGACAGATGATTGACGATTAAAGCTGCAGAGACACGTGAAGGCCAGCTTGGTCGTCACATTAAAGAATGGGATACAAAGAAACAGATCTGTGTTTCAACATGTGTTGGTCTTTCATCTTCCATGCAACGCTAACCACATGTGATGTTACACACATTCACAAAATGAGGTGACTCTCTTGTTTGCTTTATTTCCAATTTTGCATTGAAGGTCAGTAGAGATTCACGTGCGAAAACAAACAGCAGTCACACAAATATCCTAGTCTGCATTTGTAGATGCCACACTATTCTATTCTTCTGTTGAGAAAGTAAACATTGCCTTATACAGTAGTTGTTTTGGTTGTAACACAAACCCCGAACCAAGCTCCTATCAGCAAACACAGGAAGGATCCTGGCATAATGTTACACAATGTATGTCCTGTTTACTTATTTACTGACTCATTCAGATTGGATTAAGTTTAGACACAGTCACAGACCCCTGTAAAATTACAATCTGAGATTAAAATCATAAAGTGCAAGAAGAGATCACAAGCAGGTGACATACAAACAGCGATACAAACATTGCCTGAGTCCAACATCAGGTAGAGTTAAGAAGCAAGATATGCTTAGATACATGACATACTAAATGCTGTGATATTGTGAATATTCTGTTTACTTTTAACAGCTGCTTTGTTCTGCTCAGCCACTCTGTACCATTGACTGCATATACTGAATCCCACTATCCAGACATGAAACCAAAATATCCTTTATATGAACGCTGCCATCTTGTTCTTTTGGAGCCTGAGTCTGTGAAATAGTCATCGTGGAGTCAAATATCAGTGATAAGGGTTCTGCCATCTCGTGCTTTTGGAGCCTGAGTCTGTGCAGTAGCGATCAGGGGGTGGAGTTGCACTATCATGGTTCCACCCCTTGGCCAATCATGAGTCAGTCTCAGCTGCCATCATGATGTTTCACTCTGTTTTTATAGCATCAAACAACTAATTAAAACCATCTGACAAGAAAATGAGGTATGTCAGTGTGATTTAACAAATTGATAGACAGCATCTTTATGAACAAATTATTTGATTTTCTGCTTGACTTTTTAGTTTGGTCCATGTTCCATCCACTAACATGGAGGGGGCAGGATTTATGACCTATACTGCAATCTAGACGTTTTGGCTTCACTTTTGGGAGGAGTCATGGCATCCATCTTTGTAAACAGTCTAGGATCAGTAAAGGCAGTATAATTAGATGTGCATATAATTATAATATAGGTGCAAATTGTTGAATATAGTTGCACTGCTAACTTTATCACGTTTGTTATTATAAGTTTCATTCATCATTTTTCTTAAAGGAGCACACAGCTGGTTTTACACATCTGAGTCTGTTCCCAGTTGTTGAAGAGTTTTGCTGCATAGTTATAAAAAGCCTTTGAGTTCCAGAGAGAGCTGTGTGGTCTAATTTGTGGCCATGAGGGTGTCATCAGACTTTAACGTTTTTTCTGGTCTGAAAATGATAAAGGAACAAATTTGGTGGTGTGAAATTCAGACAGATCTGCTCTCCAGACTACTCCTTATTTCAGTTGGAGACCACATTAGGTGCTATCAGCATAACACACACGCATCTCCAAACTGTCGGTAGTGGTGTTGCACTATGGGAAATGTACATCCCAGGTTTTCACAAGAGAGATGCATGGAATAAAAATATGATATATCTGGTTCTGTAGTGTTGAATTTTGCATTCTTTTATACATTATTTTATAGCGATGCTAATGTTAGATGAGAATTTATTTTACAGGCACAGTCAAACTATCTGGGAAATTTTAGTCACTGTAATGCGTGTATTGTCTTTATGTTACACCTTTAGATCGTCATATTCTGGTCAATCACTCTTGCTTTTAGGATTTCTAAATGGCTTTGTTGTCAGACGTTGTGCTCTAAATAATCTGCAGCTTCAAAGACAGCTGTTAACTATGAAGCACATGCAGTGTAAATCTGACAAGCACTTACATACCAGGCATGTTTATTAGAGTAACTAATAGTGAGAGTTAAACGTTCATGTGTGGCCATCAGCCACATCTTACAAATTCAGAGCAGCAACCACGACTGAGGAGATCTTTGAAGCCACAATAGTTTGAAACCAGATCCTTTTACAGACATTTCTCTTTCTCTCTGTGTCACTGTTTAAGAGTTCTCTTGAGATGTGCATCAAGCTGTTAATGAAGTTCATCACATGAGATAAAAGCCTTGGCAGAATTCATGACATATGGTAATTGTTGATTCATTTTTTTTTTGCTTATAGTTTTTCCCTCTGATGATAAGAGGTGAGCGATAAATCTGGAACGTTGGAGACCTCCGCACCAGGGAGGAGAGAAAGCTGAAGGTGGTAAAAGTTATGCAAAACAGATGAGACAAAATTGCAGACCAATAAAAGATGGTCTTCAGTTGTTTATAGCAGCGCGAGGGAGACATACAGTCTATATTTCTATACAAGTTCACAAGCATCCATAAGACAATAAAAGCTTGTATAATCTGGGAGTTTTTTGAAAAAGCCTCCATCATTAATCAGTAACCTGTCCCTGTGATGCATACATGCCATGGTAGCTCAAGAATGATATAGAATGGCTATAAAATCAAGACATAGTTTCTGATTGTTATCAATATTTACACTGTGCCATTATTTTTTCTCTCATAAAGAAATACAAACTACAAGGGTCAAGTAATATAAAACTGTCGGTTGAACTTTTCCTTGGATGCTGCTGAGAAAAAGCTCAGTCTATGTGCGGTCTGTTTTAAGATGAGGTGGGGCTTTTTTGATCACTCCACACTTCCTTTCAGCGTAAGGAAATGTGCCGGACACTGTTAAAGCCAGGAATACTTTATGCAAAAAAGAACTGAAGGCAGGCAAAGCCACTCATCAGCATGAGAACAAACCTCAGAGTCAAGCAATCCTCATAGTAAGCAATATTTCCCCCCCGGAATACTTTGCATGATGATTTCCCTCGTGGCTGGTCGTCGCCCCAAAGTGGTGTTTTATTGTCCCTGCGTTTGTGTTTGCATTCCATTTTTACTGGGCAAGTACAAATATCCTCCTTTATGCACAAAAACCTCAGACAGGCCTTCCACTCCATTGCCTGAGCCCAGCCCTCATCCATCCATCAGCAGTGCCCCCCTTCTACACAGGGCCCCCCATCTCTGCCACTACCCCCCAACCTACTCTTTGACATAACGCAATTGTGGGTTTCCGGGCCTTTATGCTGGCTGTTGTCTTAGGCAGATTGAAGACCCTTTGTGTGCGTCAGCCCTTGTCCTGAGTGGACGGGACGGGGGAACCTGCTGGGCTGCGAGTGGAGAGACAGGAATGCGCATATGAATGGGCCAGTGTGTGCCGGGCACCCACTGACAGAGGGACGGCGTACCTCTATATGAGTCCTAGTTCATCAGCGTAACCATCTTGTTCAATTGCACGTGGAGCCCGGTGTTACGTTTCCTAGACATTCACACTGAATGGGAGGATTGTCACTGCAGTTGTCAATACTAGTAATCATGTTTTATGCCCGTCAAAAATAAAAGCCTGATTTGAGACATGGGTCCATTTAAAAACTCACAAAGCAACATTGTGTCATGTTACCCCGTCATCAGTTACTAAACCAAGTGCAGTTAAAAATAAATTGGGGTTAGGGTCTCAAAGTCATATAAACACACTTTAATGGTTAATGCAATTCCTTGGGTCCCCAGCAACACACCAAGATTGAAGTCGATTGGATGAGCGCTTGTGGAGTAAAAAATCAAAAGACAGGCAGACAGGAAAATAAACATGCAAATTAAAACTCAATGGGGTGGACGACATGTGCATGTGAAACAATATGTTGGAAAAGCTCAAAGGACTACGAGGGAAATACAGTGGGTCTGCAAAGTTCCTTTGTAGGTTTGGCAGACGATGCATAATAAGCTGGTTTATAACAACATTCTGGACTGATGGGATCTAGATATAAGATCTCACAAGCATCACTAATTGTCCTCTGACTCATATGGTACAGCTTATGGGTTGTTTTTCTGGCCATGCTTTTGAGAAGATTGCATCTCCATAATCAATAAAAAGAAACTTCCATTCACCACAGGGTCGGAAAAAAAACAACACATCTGGGACAATAAACTTTTCACCTCCTCGAATATACCCCCCCACACACGCACACACACAAACCCTGAATGTTTACTGAGCTCTTTTTCCTGGGGAAACTTTATCATGATTATGGTCGCAGGTATAGCGATTTTTTGAAATCGTCCTCATATGACTTTCAATCCAAGCGTGGCTACAGGAACACAAATATACATTGTTTTCATATCCATCCATAATTTGACTGAACAAAGTCTTTCGGATCAAAACATAAAGCATCAAGTTGATTATAGGTGGAAAATGTAATTGTATCACATGTTCCCATTTCTGTTTGGCTGAATCACCTGATCTCTCACTGCTCACAGCCACAGTGCTGATTGCCTGGAGAAGCTGAGCTGCAGCCCTGTGGACTCATGTCTCTCATCACCCACTGACCTGGAAAGTGGGAGCATAAGATCTGCGACATCTCTTCAACCAGCAGACAACATGCTGCTTTGAAGTGGAAGTGGACCCAAATTGGATTATGTAGCATCTCTGAGGAGCAGCTCCCGCAGATTTGATTACGCACGCCACCTCACCCAGCACCGACACTCCTGCTTCTCTCAAAGCAGATGAGACGACGTGGGGCGTTGCTCCATGCTGGAGTCTGGTACTGCACTTTTTTAATGTGTGCCCATCTGCCAGCCATTTACCTGATTACTTTTGTATAACTCAGACGGCTCTGGCTGTATCAGAGCAGCTGGGAGGCCAGAGAATGGCATTAGGCTTTGGACACAAGGAAGATAAGGACCAGATGACCATTTTATCCGCGAAAACAAACACCCAGATATCGAAAATTGACATATGGCCCAATTGAATATAATGTTGAACTACACATTTTTTGTTGCCTCAAAATAAATACAAATCTTACATAATGAATAATATTCTCGAAATAGAGAAACAGAACAAGCTGTTCTCATCATTGACTCTTGGGCTGAAGTGCCGTTTAAAATAAAGTCTTAAGCAATGACTACAAATTCTCCACGCAAGCATGGCACACAGACCACCTTCTATTTCTGAGGAAAATAACATCCAGTCCTGGTTTAACTCGGGCTCATTATGGTGGAAGTGGGTTCCAGGGCCAGGAAGTTTCATTGCTTTCCAAATAAATCTGACTGAACAGAGCTGTTATCCGAATTCATCTTCTTGTGGAGTCCTCCCAGAGTCATCACATTAAGTGAGAGCTCTCAAAAATCACCCTTTGTCCCTCTGGGTGTCACTCATTACATTAAATAAAACTTGAGGTCAGTAGCACAGTTGCTTGAAAGCAACTTTTTAAAAATGGGTGAAAAATCCTTTTTTCGTTCTCCCCCTGAAACAGCTGCTCATTTTCACCCAGCACAGGCCGGTTTCTGATTGTTTCCACATAAAGGGGCAAAAGCAGCTCTCAAATTCAAAGCAGCTCATGAAGAAAATATCAAAAAAGAATGAGGCCCTCGAACATTCCTCTGATTTTACCGAGTGACACAGAGGGTTTTCATTACCTCGCTCACTGCTAGCAAATCTCAGACATCACCTTTGATTATGTTACATACAAGTTGGCAGAGGAACAATCAAAGGGGGTTGTGGGTGTGATAGTCTGCGTGACGGTCAAAATTACTGCTGCAATTCAAACGGCATAATGTGCTTTTGTTTGTAGACACATTTAAATGACAAACAGTGTCATTTTCTAACCAGTCTCCACTGCAAAAAAACAAACACAGCCATTACTGACATGTGGCACTCATGTCGGGTGATCCTGGTACCAGCTCCTCAGCTGTGTGGCAGAGGGAGCTTGTCACTGAGCGTAAACAGCTCTCTTGGCTTAGTTCTCTGAGCTAAAATACCCCCTCTCCCCATCCCATCTACTAACCCCCGACACCCCATCTCTTTGTGCTGTGTGGCGTCAGCTGCAATGAGCTCCAGATGTGGCCTGGCACCCCTCCAGTCACGGCGCTGGATGTGGTTTGAAGGTAGTTTGGAAACACCACCCACCGGCGGACCCAATGAAAGTTCCTGCAGGCTGCAGTGAGAGGTTCTCTGTCGTGGCTTCGTGTTTGTGCGGACTGCAGGAGCGCAGGAAAAGCGTAGTACTCACTCTCTCCATCTGGATCTGCCTCTTGTTTGTGCATGTGTTACTTATTGAACATACTCTAAATAAGTAAGTATATGAGACAGTAGATGAAAGTATTTACATCTGCTTCAGTAGATATGGAAATATGAACATCCTTTATCCACCCCAGGCTTCCATCCTTTGTTCCCTTTGCTCATAAATACTGGTTAATAAAAGTACGGTAATATATTCTTCCTATAATAACAGAAGAGAAGACAAGTCATGTCAGTGAGAGACATGACAGAAATTGAATTCCTGCCAATGCTTTTAAAACTGTTTAACAATGATATATTCATGCACATACGTTTTCTTTCAAAACACAAGGTGACAAAACAGCAGCCAGAGGTTCCACGTTTGTGAACAGTTTCAGGTTTCAGGTCGTTAACTCACTAAAAATACAAAAAGAAGTGAACATCAGCTTCTGATCGGAGTGTGAAAAGTGTCAATGTTTCACACTAGAAGCAGCAGGACACAAGTCTTTGCTAAAATATTTAGAGGGACATGAAACTAGTACAGTTAAAGTAATTTGAGACATGCTTCTTGGAACGGGCCACTAATGAAAGATGAGGGCTGAAGATGAATGTTCCTAAAGACCATGTCCACTTCATCAGTCTGTATGGGGTTGTCAGCAGTTTAGGAAAAACGGATTTATTTTTTTGTTTCAAGAGTACAAGGTAAATAATGGAGACACTGATGCTTTTCTCTCTTTCTAACAGTTTCTGTTTAATTTTCCAGCAATGCACTAAGAGGAGCCAATGAGGTCACTGTGTAAAAGCTGGCATTGAATTCATATGGTGCACTGGATGAAAAACACATGACGTTTGTAAGACAACAGCGCCCCCTGCTGCAAGAGATTTGAAAAGACCAGCGAGGATCAAGTCACATGGCATATATGCATGTCACAGTAATAAAAGCAGTTATCTGTTTTAATGTCGTGGCTGATGGTTGTAAATTTGTTGGTTGAAGTTTGACAAATAATCCTTATACAGTAAGATGTTGCCAGTTTTAATATAAAGTGCTTGTGTAGAACACGGTGGACTCCTTGGAAAAGGACCTCCTCCTCATGAATGGCTAATTCTAAGGTTAAGAAAACATTATTCTTAGTTTCAGGTGATTACGAATGGAGATGTGACAATGACTCAAGTCCATGTATGCTATTTGATGCCCCATAAATCCTACACTTTGGATCTTTAACAATAAACAAACAACAATCCTAACAGATAGAAACTGCCTCCAGTCATAATGTAAACTGTGTCAAACATGGTACGTCATCAGTTTACAATCATAAATACTGTAGGGAGGGTAGATGCTTTTGGTCGTGAAGAACTGCATGACTCAATTTTCTCAGTGTGGCACAAAGGCTGACGTACTTTTTCTCTTTGTCAGTAATGAGAGAAATTTGGGAAATGGCAGCTGTCATTGTTTTATTAAATATAATTATTATTTAATAATCATTTGTTCACAAATGTGGAAGGGTGTGCTGCACAGCTCTGGCTGATCTGACAGGTGGTCTTTAGTGAAGCAGATACAAAGAATAATATCTCTCAGTGTTCAATAATGCAAACAGCTGAGGAAACAAACACTAAAGCACTCAAGAATTTAGATTAAATAATATTAGTGTTCCTTCAATATGAAGGCAGGCGTCAGATCTTACTCTTTATTAGAAATTTTGTTTAACTACTTGAGACAAGAATCAAGCAGCAGTAGCAGACGGTGGAAACTGGTATTATTGGACAGGTTGTACAGGTTGCTTTGGGTGTGTATTTTGAACACAAGCAGTTAACAATAAATTAAAAACAGGTCGATGCCTGTTGTATGCATATAGAAAATGTCATGTTGTGTTCACCCTGTTTCACTCAGTCGTCTTTGCTGATGTTCAGTTGAGAAATAAAAGCAGTCCAATATGGTGAATCCAGGTCAACGTGATCCTGATGCATGTGGACCTCACCTGGTAAATTTGAGTTCATTTCAATTGTCTGATCTTAGAAACACAGCATGCCCCATACGCAGTGTGTGTTCCCCGTCACCATGGCGGCTTTAAGAGCTCCTGCAGATCTCCCTGCTGTGCCAGCTGGTGGGACAGCTGGAGCCTCTTGTTCTTCTGGCTGCAAAGTGCTGGACAGTTCTCAACAAGCAGCCGACACACCTCTTCATGACCCTGTTCTGCAGCCTGCTCAAGCATTTTACAAAACAACAAATGCAAACACCAAGTTACATGGTCATCAACTCTCTCTCTAGAAAGATTGTCTTATGGTACTGCTGCAAATTCTGTACCTTGTGTAAAGGGGATGCTCCGTCGTCATCACAGAGCGTAGGATTTGACCGGTGGTGCAGAAGGAGTCTAACCACATCCAAGTGACCGCAGTACGCTGATCGATGGAGCGGCGTGGCACCGCCTGGTGTCTGAGGAGACGCGCATGCACCATTCTCTAGAAGAAACTTGCACACAGCAAAATGGCCACTGCGACTTGCATAGTGCTGAGACAAATCACAAAAAACACAAAAAAACAATTTATAAACAAGAGACGAACAGACGCCACAGCACTTATATGTTCCAAGCAAACTATACCAGAGCTGTGTATCCAGAAGAGTCTCTCAGGTTGATGTCTGTGCCCTTCTGGATCAAAGACTTTACCCTCTCCAGGTCACCGTCCATTGCAGCAGACCAGATGCCTGCAAAGAGAAAGACACATCACACTGTACTGTACTTTACTAAGTGCTGCAAAACAGGAAGGAAAATAACTGTTAGCTTAATGAAATTACAAAATGCAGCAGTTGGAAAATGAAGAATTACTATATCATTGGGGAATACTACAGATATATCGTTATATTCTATATTAGCACTAACCTCGTTCGAAATCCATTTCATCCAGAGTCTGGTAAACACTGGGAGAGGAGACAGGATGGGAGCAGCACGAGCAATGAGGCCTGTCAGACGCCATGCTGATAAAAACTGTCACAGACTGGTTCCGACCTGAAAATGAACTCTGCTAGGTTTTGAGTCATTTGTTTGAATTAACGTCATGAAAGAGAATTCATAGAATATGATGATCGGATGCCCACAGACCGGCATGCTGTTTGACACTTCCGTGTGTCTTCTTCGTGTCTTTGAAAACAATTTCGTAGTGCAACACCGCCACCTACATGTCAGCTTCGCCCACACACGGGCCCAGAAAAGAATGCTAAGAATCCAGTAAATGTTTAATCGGATGAAAACATATTTGATATAATAATTTCATTATGTTTTATTAAACAAAACAATAAAGACAATACGTCGTTGGCTCCACTCGATTCTGATCAGGATGACAGCGTGATTACGTATAAACGATCGGACCAATCACAGAGCTGCATTCAGGATGATGCCTTAAGGTCCTGCCGGACAATTTCTATGTGTATCATTTGTATTTATAAAAACAAGCGAGGAGACATAACTTTTGTTGTGTGGCGGGATAATGATGATAAAAGCTGCAGCACTGCATTTATACAACTGATCATTTCATGTATTTACAATCAGAAAAACATACACATCGGTTTTGTCATTGATTTCTGCCATAGTCACATTTTCCTTTTATTTTCCTTATTTACACCGGTATGAAATACAATTGCTGTAATTAAGTAGTAATTAATATAATACTGCAACTGTGTAATACTTCAAAGCTCAGGTATGGCTATAAATCCGATATATCCACCACTTATTCGGGTTTACTAGCTAAATGAGAGATGTTCCCTGTTGGCCAGTGAAGGCAGCTGTGGTCTCGTGTTGTCGTCTGATGCTAAACATCAGAGTCAGTCTCCACAGACGCCACAGAACAGATCACGATACGTTTTACAAGCAAAGCGTGAAGAATGAGAAGAGTCACGTTGTTTGTTAACGGGACGTCTAAAAATGGCAAGGTGGGTAGAGAGTGAGTGTGAGTGTGATGAGTGCGTGAGCTCGGGCCGCAGAATGACCCAGGCTGTTTCCTCTCAGCATACGTGTTTGATTCTGTTAGCTAACTCACTCACCTCTCTGTAGCTAACGTTAACTTCAGCTCACACCGAGGAGAACTGTAGCAGTTAGCTCGCTGCTAGCTGCTACATTAATCTTGTATCAGGCAGGAGTGACCCATTTAGCTTCAGGCTTAAATTCCTAACAACCCACTAATTCTTTTTAAACCTCTCCTTTTTTTTAGGTTGTAGCAGTGTACGGGACCTTGTCTGACTTACTATCTGTAGCCAGCAATAAGTTAGGAATCAAAGCCTCTAGTTTATACAATGGTAAAGGTGGCCTGATAGACGACATAGCCCTCATCAGGTAAGCTCACGCAGTGCTGATAATAACCATGATGCTCAAACACAATGGACGCCTCGTCTCATCTCTGTATTCGTGTTTCTGACAGAGACGACGATGTGCTGTACGTGTCAGAGGGAGATCCATTCATCGGTGAGAGCTGCCATGTCTGCTGCAGGAGACTCATCCACCGACAGTCAGAGTGTTACACGTGGTCTCAACAACTCTTGTCTCCTTCTCTCTCATGCCTCAGGTCCACAAGATGAAGCCAAGGTCAGATCTGATCTGCATGGAGCTCAAACCGACTGGCTGACCCTCAATATTGGCGGGCGCCTCTTCACCACCACCAGGTATGTGTGCTGTGATCACCAGCAATAACACATCACAACAGAGTTGGCACAGTTCCACAGGGTGTGTTTATGTCCACTTTGTAACGTGACTGTGTGTGTTATGTGTTCAGGAGCACATTGGTCAGCAAAGAGCCAGAGAGTATGCTTGCTCATATGTTCAGAGAGAAAGGTATGTATGTATTTATTTAAGATTTAAATGTGAGACCTCTTAGGGCATTTTCACACCTGAATGTCTGGACCCATGTCTGAGCTAAGATATATGTGTTCTTTACATTGTTTGCGTTTGATCCGGTTAGTTTTGGTTTCACATGACATGATTTGATCTGGATGAAGACCCCCCCCTTTTGGTTGAATTAAGGCTAAAATAGGTGAGAGGGGCACATCTCCCAATTGTTACTATGTTTTGGACTGAACAGAAAAGCCCTAAGGTCCGGACCACACAAGACAGGTGTCCAACCATCCTTACTGAATGTGGTTTGTCAACATCTGTGTTTGCTCCAGATGTGTGGGGGAACAAGCAGGATGAGCATGGGGCTTACCTAATCGACCGCAGCCCTGAATACTTTGAGCCTATTCTCAACTACCTGAGACACGGTCAGCTCATTATCAATGAAGGCATAAATATACGAGGTAAGCTTGGGATCTACCTGAATAACTGAGAACAAGTTCTTAATAATCTAATATAATTCCCACAGCAATTTCTTGAAAAACCTTTTAAAATTGTGTGTGTATCTTGCAGGAGTCCTCGAGGAGGCTCGGTTCTTTGGAATTGAGCAGTTGGCTGAACAGCTGGAAGCAGCAATCAAGGTAACAGGAAGAGGGGAAGGCAAATATCTTGCATGTAGAAATGTGATGCTTCCCTTAAATGAACTCAGCTCATTTTCATTACAGAACTCACAGCCACCGGAGGACCACTCTCCCATTTCCCGTAAAGAGTTAGTTCGTTTTCTTCTGGCAACGCCCACCAAGTCTGAGCTCCGCTGTCAGGTACAGCTTAGTTTAAGTAATTTCATTTACCCATCCATTTCATTCCATATTAAATCAATATTTCATTCTATTTCTCTTACTGTTTTCAGGGACTTAATTTCAGTGGTGCCGATCTGTCCCGACTTGATCTGCGCTACATAAATTTTAAAATGGCCAATCTGAGCCGCTGCAATCTGACTCATGCCAACCTGTGCTGTTCTAATCTGGAGCGGGCCGATCTCTCTGGAGCCAACCTGGATGTGAGTCTGAAAACTCTTCTCTTGTCTGCACTGAATGATTCATGTGCACCCACAGTATCAGGCCATGCAAAGTACAGGATGCACTCAAAAATGTTTCAACAGTGGGGAAGCCAATGTTTCCTCATTCCAACTCCTGTCTTTTTTTGTGCTCATTTTGTTTGTTAGTCTTCCTGCTGGTGAACAGTTGACTTTGCTTTTGGTTTGCAGCCACTTCACTCCTGGTGCCTCAGTTGTGTGGAAGAAGGGTCATTCACTTGTTAAACATGTTTGCCAATGGTACATACTTGGGTAGCTGCAGCAGCTGGTGTTCAGGCCCATACCAATTAGTTAATTTACCCACGACCCCATTGTCTGTGTCATGTTTTATAGAAATATAATAAACCTTCTTATTATCAGTGCAGCAGCCATGTTTATTGATTGAGAGAGGGATGCAGGTGCTGTACATTCTACCATGAAACAACAGCATTCATTATTATGAGAAGTGGACTGTCACATCATCATGGCATCCATTGCCCACTCCCACTCTTTAGAGCTGGTAGTAACTTTCATGTGTGATCCAATCACAAGTGGACAGCTCCAAGTACATCAGTTCATACTTGGCAATAGTTCACTTCTATATGCAAATATGCACATATGTCATTTCTGTTCACTAAGACCAAATGATTGATGCTTGACATGACTTAATCTTTGCATATAAAATGAAAGCATGACTCCTGTTGATGTTTGGTTTTTCTCCTTAGGGGGCGAACTTACAAGGGGTGAAGATGCTCTGTTCGAATGCTGAGGGAGCTTCTCTCAAAGGTTGTAATTTTGAAGATCCCTCTGGACTGAAGGCCAACCTGGAAGGTAATCTGCTGCAATTCTTCATCAAAGACGACCTGGTCCCACATTTATAGTCATAGTCATAATTTTAACCATGTTTATTCCTGACCAGGTGCCAATCTGAAAGGGGTTGACATGGAAGGAAGCCAAATGACCGGCATCAACCTGCGTGTGGCCACTCTGAAAAATGCAAAGCTGAAGAACTGTAACCTCCGGGGAGCCACTTTAGCAGGGACTGATCTCGAGGTGAATTAAAGCTCTCAGAAAGGATTAACTCTGAAAACACTAATGTGGACTCAGCTAGCAGTCCGTCTTATTTACAGCCACATTTCAGAGCCATCAGGGATAAAATGGTGCAGAACTGAATAAATGGTTTCATAAATCATTTTAAATACACTACACATCCAAGTTATTTTGCCAAAATGTTTTTTTATGTCTGATAACTCAGTAGCAGGTTCCCTGACTGTCACAGTAATACAAGAGTGAATCCAAGGAGGGAATGAATGATTGAAAACTGGATGTATTGGTGTTTTACAGTTTGTTCTTGTGAATCAGTTTCAACCAGTGTCTGTAAAACACTAATGGCACTTAACCGTTCTTCTCTTTTCTAACTGTTTTGTCCCTGGTGCCTTTTTAATTTGCAGAACTGTGACCTGTCTGGCTGCGATCTACAAGAAGCCAACCTGAGAGGGTCCAATGTGAAAGGAGCCATTTTCGAAGAGATGCTGACCCCTCTGCACATGTCCCAGAGTGTCAGATAACTCGGCACACACCCACAGGTCCATTGTGGGCCACCGCTGGCTTCTTTCAATGCTCTTCTCCTCCAGTCCTCCTCCCCCATACTCCCCCAACGTACCCATCTCTCTTTACCTGTCTGCAGCGCAGGCACTCGTATGCACATCCCTGGTCATTCCACCAATATTATGTTAGCTTTAAATATCTTGCACTAGAATCTATCCAGGGTTGTCAATGTATGTTTTTAATATGTAAAGCTGTATATCACCAAAACAAACACATGTTTCTTTTTATGTGTATCTAGATGCAATCCGATGACTATGCTCATTTGATATTTTACATTATTTATGTTCTTCATATGACTTGATGGTAGTCAAAATCAGAGCATCTGTGCACAGTGAAGTTCAGAGCTTCACTGAATGCTGCTGTAGCATAAATTGAAGGTGTCATTTACCAATACCTGTCGTTATATATTCCTCTTTAAGTGTGTAGCTTAATTTTGCTGGATTCAACATATTATGAATTAGCAATGCAAGCCAAAGCCATACAACAGCACAGTCTAATCAAAGGCTAAAAGTGAAAGTGAAACTATGCTGCAGGCTAGTTATACAGTTTGGGTATGCAATACATCATTTAGAGCTGTGAGGTGTCTCCGTTCCTACTCTTAAATATTGTGTTCTCCATGTTTTGCGCTCTGTGAATCTACCTCTTTTTTTAATCCAGTGTGCGAGTGACCCACAGTTGCATGCGTTTAACTGTGGCACTGCTTGGTGTTCTGTTTGTTTTTCTTCCCATTATGAGAAAACCTGTGCTTTAACAGAAAGCCATTATTTCTGTGTTCATGATCTCAGAGTGGGTTTACCTGGAAACATGCTCCATATATATCGATGTATATCACTTAATCATGCTTTGAACCTATTTGCACAAATGTATGTTAACTTATAACGTGTTATTCCTTTTCACCAAAAACTCTTGGTGCTTGTAATCTTATATAAATCAAATCCAGTGCTTCCAAATCTTCCCAGAAAAAGAAATGTTAAATACTATTATAAGAGAGGGCAGGTGTTGTGAGCAGTTCTTACTGGACAGTGTCTGTTGCATGTGTAAAGATCTGTTACTCTATCTGTGGCTCAAAGCTGCTCCGATGCAATACTATTCACTCAGTTCAATTGTAGGTACCCAGCCTGTGAGAGTGAACGATGAAGGCAATCATACTGTGTATTTCACCTTGAGTGTGAGACTCAATTGAAGAGCAATGTCTATTTATTTTAATACATCTCAATGAATGCGACATGGGGCAGAGGTTAGTTTGTGTTTGAAAGAGGGAATGATGTAGGTCTCTATGTATGATTATTGCACTCGACCGTGGAATTTTATTTCCATAAATGACTGTTATAAATAAATTACTTATGAAGAAAGACTCTTTATTTATTGTGTCTCGAATGGGAATGAATGAGTGTTCTGTTTAAGAAACACCATGAAATGACTGGAAATGGTTAAAAGTTACTTATTTTTTTACTGAAGGTCAAAAAACAAGCTTTTAAACAGCTCTGCAGGTCGCCAGTAAATGTCTAATCCCAGTTACACCCCCTGTAGTGAAGTGCTGGGCTGTGAGAAGCGGAAGCATCACAGCCTCATATAAAGCATGGAGTGTGCACAAGTATTCACAAAGGACTGAAGACCATCAGTTCAGAGACGCTGCCTGCTTAATGCACAGAGAGTAAATGAACCAGTGACGATGGGCACATTTAAAGAAAAAATAGAAAAATGCATGACATGACGTGCGTATTTCCACTATTTCTCCTCAGAATGGCTGTGAAGACCTTGGCAGTGTGGCTGCTCCTCATGGGGATTTTGGTGCCTCAGCATTCCTGTCAGCACTGGTCCTACGGCCTGAGCCCAGGAGGGAAGAGGGAACTGGACAGTCTTTCACAAAGTCTGGGCAATGTGAGCATTTATCAGTCTCACTCAATGTTTATCTTCCCTTTTGTGTACATTCATTGAGATGTTTTTTTTCTTCAACAGGTAGTTGAGGAGTTTCCTCGTGTGGACCCACCTTGCAGTGTTCTGGGTGGTGCAGAGGAATCACCTTTAGCCGGAATCTACAGAATGAAAGGATTCCTTGTAAGTTTGACCCATTTGTCATTGTGTGTTTGGTCTTGGATACATCCATCAGCACTGCCAAGTGGAAGAATATCAGGCTCAGGGATAAGAAAAAAAAATATAAGTGGAAGATTTGTTTTTCTTAAGAGCTTTGAGAATAAAGTCAAAGTAAATCAGAGAAAGACTTCTTTGTATTTTGTGAATTAAGTCAAAGCAACCAAGAATTATGTCAAAATGTCAAGAATATAGTTGAAATGTTGGGAATTAGGCCGAAATTATTCAAAATGAAGTTGAAATATCAAGAATAAAGTCAAAAACAAATTTGGAAAAGTCGAAAACAAAGTCGAAAGGTCAAGAGCAAAGTAAACAAATGTCACGAAATGCTGAGAATAAAGTCAAAAGGTCAAGAATAATGTTGAAAACAAAACTGAAAGGTCGAGATTTAAGTTGAAATGTTGAAAATAAAGTTGTATGACGGAGTGCCTGAGTGCTGCAGCCAGCTGCCAGTGTTCTGTCTCTTTTCTCCTCATGAACAGACAGATTTAGGCTCAATCTCTTCATAGTCCTAATGAATTTATAAATGCACTTAAAAATAAAGAAGTATTTCCGAAAAACTATTTTACCAATTCATCTACACTTGGCATTTTGTAGAGAAGGTCATAACGTTAGCAGTTTCATAAAATCGACTTTAATCTTGAAATTAAGTTTATTCTTGACATTTTGACTTTTCTCCACTGAAAAATCTCCCTTTGGTCATTTTTTCCAAGATTATTAATCAAAGTTTAAATTCACAGATTGAATCTGTTGCTCTCTTTCAGGGAAGCATCACTGACAGGGGGAACGGACGCAGAACTTATAAGAAATGATGATTACTGTATTATTAAATAAATAATTACAATTGCAAAACATTGATTGTTCTTTACTTCTGCATGTTTTATCTCTAAGTCATTCACACCACCCTCTCTTTCATTTTACCCTCCTTCTCCTTTCCAATCTTTTCTCTCTCTACTTCCTTCTTTTCTGTTTCCCTTCTACCTCCTCCTTTCCGTCACCTCTCTCTCTTTATATCCCTCTTGGATGGGGGAGTTATGTTTGCCCTCATCTCTCTAACCTTTTCTTTCTTCGTCTTCCTGTCCATCATCTCTCTCCGTTGGGCTCTCTTTGATTTCCTTTGTGCTTCATCTCTCCTTTATCTTTCTCCTTTACCTCTCTATTGGTTCTGTCTGTAATTTACATTTCCAAATTTATGGGACTACTCCTCCAATTTACTTCCCTCCCATTGTCCCTCATCTCCCCTTTTCACCATGTCCTCGTCCTTCCTTCTGACCTTCCTCTACATTTTCTTGTCATATTCCTCATCACCCCTCCTGTTATTCTCCATCATTTCATCTCATTCTCTCTCTCTCTCTCTCATTAACCCTTCACTCCATCCTTTGAATTCCATCTTTTTTCAACTCACCATCCACCTTCACTGTGATTCCTTTTCTTATGGCCTTCCTCCTTTATCTTTCCACCCGCGCTCCTCTTCACATCCTTTCCTTTACCTCTACTTTTCTCTGTCTTCCTCCTTTTCTCACCCTCTCTTCATCTGCTTTTCTTTACTTGCCTTTCTTTACCTGTCCACCCTCTCCCTCTTCACCGTGGCTCTGCACAGCCAGCAGAGGACACTATAAACCAACACGAAACTTCATCTACATCCTGCTCCGACATTGCTGTGGTATCAAGAAATGTTATCAACAGTTTCTTGTAAGCCTGGACCAAATCCATCAACACTGTAATCAATTGCAATTTACTGTCGCCTTTATTGTGTTTATTCACCATGAGGACATGAGTCTGAAGTCAAGTTATTAATCGCTCACTGTTTCCTTGATCCACACCAACATTGTCCTCTGGATTATAATAAAGATTATTAGTGGGTGGATGAGCAAAATGAAAATTATCTGAGCAGGTGACACGTGTGTGTTTGCTGTGAAAAACAAACAGAAGTGTATTCATCATGGAGACCTGGCAGTGATACAGCAGCCTTTAAAATCCTGCTCACTGGTTCATTAGTCCTAGTTTTTTGCCTGACAAAGAAGAAAAAGGACTGAGTAACTTTAAACAGATCTCCAGTCATGACACTTCTTTGACGTTACAATATCTTGAAATATTCAAGGTGTTGAAATTGACCCTCACCCATTTCATCATTAGACTGTAGCTTCTTATAAATGAGGGTTTGTGGCAGACAGTGATTCTCATGCTGCAGGAGGGGATTTTATATTCACTCCTCTAGTTCCACACGTGTCTTTTTGGGGCTGATACATAGTCACTGGTCCAATTTCACCTTTGTACTCATCAGCAGTGGTTTCACTATTACACAGACATTCAGTATCATGAGGCTGTTGACAGAATGCAGATTTTCTGTTTCCTCRAGKACAGGCTATAAGAATAAATGATGCACTGATGTGTATCATCAAGAAAACAGCACAGACTGAGTGGGAATCACTATAATGACATGCTGATTGAAATTTCCATCACAATAATGCTGATAATGGCTTTGGCTTTCAGAGACGATTGTT